CCACTACCCATCACACCAAGGGAGTGCTGAGTCAGCGAATCGCAACCGCCCGCGCCCCCACCTGCGGCCCGCAGCTTCCTCTCGAGCGCCGCCGCCTCCTGCTGCGCCGCCGCCGCCGCCCTGGCCGCGCGCTGCTGGGCCGCCCTGAGACCCTCCTGAGCCTCCTTCAGGGACGCCTCAAGACTCTCAATGCGAGCCTCTGACAGGCCTGCAAGGCGTTGCGTATCCGACGCAACACGACGGCAGCAGCGGCGCGACGGACGCGAATTTTGGTTCGTCTCGCATGGGCGGGCTCCCATGCCACACAAGACGCGCGGGGCGGAGCGACGGAATTTCATGCCACCTGGCAACCACAAAACAGGCACCACAGGCCCCTCCATGCCAGGCACGGACCCAAGCGGCGGCCCGGAGGCAGAGCAGAGCGGCGCACCGTTGCGGCGCTCTGACGTCAGCGCCCGCTCCTCCAGCTGCAGCGCTAGCTCTTTGTACCGCCGCAGCATGTCAGCGTGCTTCTGCTCCCGCTGCTGCTGCTCCCGCTGCTGCTGCTGCTCCCGCTCCCGCTGCTGCTGCTCCCGCTCCCGCTGCTGCTGCTCCTGCTGCTCCCGCTGCTGCTGCTGCTCCCGCTCCCGCTGCTGCTGCTCCTGCTGCGCCGCCTGCACCTGCGCCGCCTCCCGCTGCTGCTGCTGCTGCTGCTGCTGCCCGCCCGCAGCTTCCGCGGCGCGCCGCACCCCCTCGTCATCGCCGACCGCGGCCTCGAGCGCCGCGGCGCGCGCCTGCAGCGCCGCGGCGTCGCGCTCGGCCGCCGCCACCGCCTCGCGCGCGGCGGCGGCGTCGCGGCGAGCGGACTCTGCCTCCTTCCGCGCCGTCGCCAGCTGCGCCGACGCGTCGAGCAGCTCGTCGGCGGCGCGCCGCCGCTCCTCCTCCAGCTGCGCCACGCGCGCCATGAGCGCCGCGTGTACCTGCTGCTGCTGCCGCAAATCCTCATCACCGACGCTGCCATTGCCGCCCGAGGCCTCTTCCAATGCACCCGGCGCAGCTGAGGCCGCCAGAGCAGGGCCGCCGCCCCCGGCGGAGGCAGCCCCCTTGGCATCTGCAGAGGGCGACTCCCCGTCCTCCTCAGACCAACCCTCATTCCAGCCGTCAGCGGCTGCCGCCGCGACAGCCTGCTGCTCCTGCGCCTGCTCCTGCTCCTGCTCCTGCTCCTGCTCCAGCCGCCGCTGCAGCGCCGGCTCCTCGCTCAACGAGTCCGCTTCCGCCTCACTCGGCCTTGCCGCCGTCGCAGCCGACTGCGGAAGCTGCCCCCCGTGCAGCTGCCCGAGCGCCGCCTCCGCCTCTCGCACGGCGGCCGCCTGCTCCCGGCTGCGCGCCAGCTGGGGGTCCCCCTCCGTCGCGCCACCCCCTGCGAAAGCTGCCGCCGCGGCAGCTGCCGCGGCCTCGAGCTCTGATATGCGCTGCTGCAGCGCGCGCACCGTTTGGCTGTGGTGGTCCTGCTCCTCCCGCAGCTGATCCAGCTCCGCCTGCAGCACAGCGGAACATGACATGACATGACACGATCAGACGTGTCAAGCGAGGTAGGTTAGAAAAGACAAGATCACATGTATGCGGGGTGATTCCGCGGTGTATCAATTGCTGGCAGCGGCTGCAACTTTGAGGCGCGCACCGCGACCGCCCCTGCTCGCCGGGCGGACCCCAGGTCGGGGCCAAAACAGCACTGGCGTAGCGACGCCGCAGCTTCACGGCAATCGATGCAGCGTCCCGTCGCAGCTGCCCCCTCGCCCTCACCCCCCTTTGCTCCCCTGCCCCCCACCTGCAGCGCGATGACCAGCACCGCCTCGACGCCCTCGTCCGACGTTTTGATGGCGTCCGCGTCGAGCAGCAGCTGCCGCGTCTCCGCGTCCAGCGCGTTGCTGGTGTAGCCGCCGCGAATCATGACCTGCGGGGCAGCACATTGCATTGTATGATGAATACGCATAGATGCCTGCGACAGGTATTTAGGTACCGCGGTCCTGGAGAGCGGTGGAACGCCGGGAGGCCGAGCCGCTGCTGAGACTGGTAGTATGCAGAGGGGCGGGTGCGACCCTGCAGACGCATCGGCCACCTCAGCGCCTCGCAGCGTCTCATAGCGCGGGCGCGAGCAGCCCCCCGGGCCTAGTGCCGCGCGCAGCTCGCGTGCTACCATCCGGGCGTCGCCGATTTACGGCGGGCGCGCGCCTTTTTGAGGGCGGCGATGGTGTCGAGCAGCGCGTGCTTCTCCCGGACGTGCTGCCGTGTGATTTGAGCGACCTCGCCCTTGTCATACCACCGCAGCTTCCGCGCGCTATCGATGGGCAGCCGCAGGAACTGCCGGTCGCCATCTTGATTCGGCGACGGCTGGTGCTGCGGCGACGGCGCGCCGCTGGGCGGGCGGTCGCCGAGCGTGCGGTTGATCTGCGTCGCCGCGGCGGCGGACACGGCGCTCGCGGTGGTGCGCAAGTTGCCGAGCGTGTCGCCCAGCGACAGCGTGAGCTTTTTCATGGCTGTTGGGCGCCGGCTGCAGCCGCGCCGACGGTGTTTGGCCCGTCAGAGAGCGTGCGGGGGCGCGCACAGCTGTGCGTCGCGTCGCCCGCTGCCCGCCCAGATCAGGTTCGGTGTGCTCAGGCTATAACAGGTGTATATCTATGCCATATTGTTCATGTACAGGAAAAACATCAGCACAGCGCTCGCTCTGCAGAGTATCATACTGTCTTGACGAGTGAACGGCTCTACGTCTGTCCGCAACACAAGAGAATCGGCGCAACACTGTTACCAATCAGCCTACAGAGTCATTGGAATTGGCTGATTCCCAGATCGGTGACATACATGCACACACGCACACAGCAAGATGCCCGTTTGGTTGGACCCTCAGACAAATTATTGATCAAATTGATCACATGCCGTGTATGATGTATGTCGTCTAGGCTGGCGCTCCCCTAACGCCGGCTGGTTTGGGCGACGCCTGCTCGGAGCGCGCTCAGCAAGCACAGCGTGCCGACCGCGTACTTCATCCGGGCTTGCACTTCAGCACTGTTGGCCTGAGGTCACCAGACAGCACTATGCAGATCAAATTGCGTGCTGCATTGTGAGCCAAGCGTCCATTCAAAATGCACACTGTGTCATGAGCCAGCAAGCTGTCACGCACAAACTGAATTGGGCTTGCGGTGCGTGCCCTAGCATGACAGCATGGGAGCCACAGGCATGGCATGAGAGTGTCCAGCGGCCACGAAAAGGTAGTATCAGCAGCATTGACAGTACACATGGCTTCTCGCCGTGATGGTCAACGCTCGCAGCCGTACAAGCCAGGGCTGTAAGCTTGAGTTGACTGGCTCAAAACATCGTCCCTGCCGCTGGTTTGGGACAACACTCGCTGTTCGACCAGCTGAAGCAAGGCTCTGCGTTGCTGTGCAGCTCACGACAGCGTACCCGGGTGGTGGCCAGATAATGGCGATGGTAATCTTGCAGGACACGGCGCCCACATCACCAACCCTACGCCCACCCGTTAGCCGTGTGCGAAGGTGCTGGGCACAACAGCGACGCTGCCAACAGTACCAAGCCATCTTGAATGTAAATTTGCTGATGTGGGACAGACCGCGCATGCAGAGGCCTGCCAGGCACGATCAAGCGGCGCAACGGCGCGGCGAAGCTGCGCAAATACTGCGCGGATAATCCGGGGCAAAGCACTGTCACCATTCAAACCCCTGGCCCCGCACCTCCCTTCGACCTGCCCGGAACAAAACGAGTGTGGCGCCCACGTAGTATCAGTGAAAAGAGTGGGAGTCACCAGACACGCGAAGACTGTAAGGACCACCTCGCTCGACACCGCGCTAGTTGTTCCCGCGGCTCGAGGCTCGGAGTCACAGCAAATATGAAATCCAGGGCAACCGCAAGCGCCCAAGCGGCGCAGTCGGGCCCTCTGGCCTCAGGCAGCGGGTGGCGCTGGCCTAGCGTCGCCGCAAGCTGCAGGCGCAGTGGCCGCCCAGGTCCGCACATGCGAAGCACAGCTTCAGGCGATTACGTGCTGCATGTATTCAGCTTGTTGGCAGAAGCTGTCCTGCACGCCTGGTGACCGTTGGAGCCAGCTCCCCCATCCCGCCCGCCCCTGCTTGCGTCGACCGCCCTCCCTCCAAACCCTTGCCCGGGCCGACCCCGCAGGCGCGCGCCCACAGCAGCTGCCCCGCGCGGCGCAGGCGGAGCAGGCGCCACCAGCGGCGCAGGCCGCCGCCCCTGCGCCTCCACTCCCCCTCGCCCCCGCCGACGGCCCGCAGCAGCAGCCCCACCGCACCGCCGCCCAGCCCGCCGCCGCAGACTCGGCCCCCGCCGCGAGCCGCTGCCCGGTCCTTGCGGCGCTGCCGCCGCCGCCGCGCGCGTCCGTGCCCCTCTGGCGGCGCATCGAGCAGTTCACCAACCCGCCGGCCTTCCAGGCGGCGCTGCTGAAGGACCATGACATCGTGTACACCCCAGAGCAGATGGGGTTCCCCGAGCTGGTGGTCCCGGGCACCGCTGACATGGTGCGCGCCGCCCTGGCGCGCGAGGGCGACATCACCGGGCCGGCCAGGTTCTTCTCACTGGGTGAGCCCAGCCCTGGCGTGCGTGGCCCCGGCGGCGGCTGCCGCTTCCGGGAGTGAGGGCGAGCTGAGCGGCGCGTGGGGCGGGCAGCAGTGGCAGCACAGGCACGGCGGC